GATGGACTGTTGACTGATGACAAGTCCGACCAGATGCTAGTCTTGAATACAAGCTAGAAAAACCAATAGTATTTTGTCAAGTTGTTTCATAAAAAAGCTCACACCTGAGTATTCTTCAGGCTTGTATGTTAGACGAGTGCTAATGATGTACAATATACAACTGATTACATCTTCGCATTAAGGTCTCTCGTTAATTAATTCAATCATCAAAAGGGAATGCCCTTGTTATATGTATGAATCACTTCAAAAAGAACTGGACCATGCTGATAGAGCTGCTTTGCTACAATACAAGCTTTGCAACTCTCTGAATTATCAAACTAGAATGCATTTACTAAACCATCATTGCATTTCTGTATGAAGAAACACGAGAGACGAGTCAAGATGACCAAAATGTTCAAATTATTATTAACATGTATAAAGGTTATAAATTGAGGTTGGGACACACAGTGAACCAGTCCCAAAACCATTAAATGAGAAAAATGCATTACTCTTCCGGGTTTTGAATGAGAAATTTGGGGTTTTCGTGCGAATATGATATTATTATACATTGCTAATAATTTTATATCTTGTACTAAATATATTGAGCAATAACTTTATTTGAATATTTTTAGAAAGAGGGATTTTTAGCATTTATATTCCTATCGTGATCAATATGCTTGGTGAAGAATATTTTGTCGTTAGTGAAATATTATTTTTTCCATGTACAGTGTTACTCAGAGGTTTTTGTTAATGGCTAAGATGTAGCATGTCTTCCTTTTGTGCACGAGGTCCTTGGTTCAATTCCAAGTTGGGATAAATGAATAAACACAAGGAGCTCACGCGTCTCGAACTCACTACCACATGGTTATGACGTCATCGCCTAGCTGAGTTCGTTCTGGCGCTCTAGACCATTCGGCCAACTCGGCAACCCCAAAAAAGGTTGTTTATATTTTATAATTAAGAAATAGATAACCTGGTTGGTCTACAACTCATAAAAGACAGCGAAGATTTGTATGTTTGTTTATCAGGATGCATGGTTCCTTTATGGGTCTGTCTTCTGTGATCACATGTGTAAACTTTAACAAATATTGGATATATACCCAGGAGATATTGCCCACCTTCATTGGTTGTAAACACAATTTAATACAAAAAGCCTTTTGTTTTTTCCTTTTTATTATTCATATTTGCATAGAAACAGTCAATATGCCTACAGAAAATGTTTTTCATATTAAAACATATCTACTTTTAAGAACCTATATGAAGAAAGTAAAGAAATGTAGGGGCTTTCCTTCGATTACGAGTACAGATATCCCAAGTTAGGTGTATCATTGACGCTACATCTTAGATTTGAAGTGGGTTGAGCTCTTTCGGGAAAATCAATGAAGTAATAAAGTTGAGATTGTTTTATCTTGAAGTATTGACATATTATCTGGCAAAGTCATGTTACAATTTGTCTCTTAGTTTATACTTCAAGGGACTTTGGTTTTTTACAAACATCCAATATATTACATGATAGTCTTTATAACAATGTATTTAGAGTCAATCTTAAGCTTAGCTGAGGTCAATGCTTTAGAAGGGTTTTGGTGAGGAGGACTCGTCTATCTACCGGCTGAAATATATAGCGCGATAATAACAATATCATATATTAAGAACATGTCTTCTCATTTCTAAACATATCTAGAAATGGGAAGAGAATTTATGAAGATTTCACCGGGCCATAATATATGATTCATATAACCTTGGCCATGATATTATGTTTAAACAGGTAACGTCACCCGAAATAATGAGGCAAAGTTCCGATATGTAGAATACTTAACACGTAAGTATGGTCAGGTGTACTACAGCCTCTCACATGCCCTAATGACATTCATACAGACTGATTCAAATTTGAACTTAAATATTTAGTGCTAGGGTATTCAAAATGATACCCTTTCCAAGAAGTTAATTGTTATTGCTTCTAGACTCTGAACTTTTGGGTATTAAAATGGTGATCTAACAGGTTTAATGAGTGTATATGGAGAGTTGATTCGGTTTTGTCTCAGAATTATGATCAACTGAGTATGGTTCATTTTGTCATCATTTCGTATGGTTGTATAGATGCATGTGCTAGGCTGTAGGCTATGTACCTCTGTGTGGTTGGTATATATACCTTGCCCATAATTAGAAAATTTTACTTGTAATATATGCAACACCAGACCTTGCTCTGATTTACTCGCAATCTTTCCATTTCAGCTTGCTGTTTTGACAAATTGTTTTCCCTTCTTGGCATATAGGAAATTGATATAAATTCACTCATTGACTCACAACTTTAAATGTTTGATTAAATACAAAACATGGCAAGAAACAGCTAAGAGCACAATCATTCTATGGGAAAACAAATCCCCAATTTCCCATACTCATCAAGAGCTTTATTGTAAACTGCAGATTATTTATGGACATAGATTGACCAAAAAGTCGCACGTTAATTTGCTTACAATTGATTCTTCCTTCCTGCCTTGTGTACTAATATTTACACAGGCTTTATTTAGTGATAGATTTCCTATTGTTGGATAACTACTTTGTCTAATGTATCGATACACTTTGCACCTACTCATAGGTTTGGTTTGGATTTATTCCTTTAGAGAGTACTTGTTCAATATATGTAGGGCTTTCTTTAATGCTCAATTTTGTGCTCGGGTGCATTCATTCCATTGGGGAAACTTTGTTACTCTCGATATGTCCTTACAGTATCTGGGTTATCGATCTAAGTCCAAGATCATCCTTATGTTTTCAGGATATATTACTCTCTGAATCACTTATTGTGATGTATTGATCTTTGATCACACCAACTGGCTTATCCTTTTCATTATGATTAATAAAACAGTGATAAACAACAAATCAGTGGTAAGATTTTATGATTTGCTATGAGACATATCAGGATGAAAAATGGCTGATGATAAATGTTAGACCAAGATTTGTAGAATGTGCATCAAAGGCAAAAATGAGAAACTGTCAAGTTAATTTAATACAAGAGCGCCGAGGAACATAAGTGTGTCTTTATCTCATTTAACTAAATATGTGCATTTATCAGCAAGGCAGACTAAGTGTTTTTTGTCGGTGTAATGGAGCGCGTGATTGGCTGTGGTATATACATGGGACTTCTCTGGCCATAATTTCATTCATTTTCCACTGCATTGGGCAAATTATCTGTGATATCAGTTGCTGTTACATAGATTTAATTATGGCTAAACCTAGAGTACTTAGTGCTGTATTTACATGGTCATCTCAGTCAGAGGTTAAAGAATCTTTTTACTCTTACAATCGTATCTTGAAAGCAAAGTGTCTCTAACTCCTCTCATTTGGTACATCAGGATTGCCAGAAATCCAAGTCTGTCACTTATAAACTGGCAAAGTTTAATTGCAGTGAAACAGTTCTCCCTGACTCATCTATCTTACAATAAGTATACGGCTTTTGTATTTGAATACAATACAAAATAGACCTTTTAACCTATACTAGTGTCTGTTGTTATTTTTTAATTTCTCCGAGAATAAGTCCTGTGCTACCACTTCATTGAACGTGATATTTTTCAATTAATATTACGAAAGCTGACGCTGCACCAATTTGAGAGAATTTTGACCTTTTTAGAATATTTTGATTAAATGATGCAAGTTACAGAATTCTGTGGAACTATAAAATAATTTCATGTTTTATTTTATCAATTCTTTATTTGGTTAAGATATCCACACCTGTTTCAATATACATGCATTTCCTTTTCTAGTACGTAATTAAATCTTTATTTGAGTAATACCCTATGAAACATCAAAGACTGGATAATTGTTGCACTATTTATCACATTTATCACGCAGGGGTTTGCATGTAAAACTATTGATAAAACATGCTTCCTTTCTGAAAATATCACATTTCTAAAAACAAATAGAAAGTTAACAAGTGGGAAAATCAAGTTCATGTCTTTAAAATTCAATCTTCAGTATGTTTAGTTGAAGAATTATCAGTTTTAACATGATTCTGTCAAAGGTTAGGCATATTATTTGGGGTGTTGTTGGGTTTCAAAAAGGATGAAAAGTGAGATCAGAGCAGGTCTTGTGTGTTTTCTCTTAAGGGAACATATCAATATATCGATTTCTATAAGAAATGTAAGCAATTATGTAACATGGGTAAGAGGCCTCTTTCATTAGCTAGGGGTTAATCAAATTGAAAGAGTAGAAAGCCTCCATGTAGCAAACAAAATATCTTATTTCACAATGCAGATCAGCTCATCACGATTATGTTTTTGAGAGGGGGGCAACCCAGAATTTAGTTACTTCTTATCCTAAATCTTTATATGGATATTGACACATTCCCTTAGATTATATTATTTACTGTTCTATATGATGAAACAAGTCACTCATACTTGACATCTTCAATTTCAAATGAATTACCGAAAATACATTGAACTTAACCAGTTAAAGACTACATTCATTCTATAATAATGTTTCTTCTTTCAAAGTCATTTCATCTAAAAGGCACCATTTTCATTTGTATTTGCCATCTGATCCATAGCTTTTAAAAAAGATATTTTGATTTCATTTTGAAAAAAGCTGTTTCTCATTACAGAAACATATTTTTCAAAATCCAAGATCAAATCGGTTCACCTTTATGATACATGTTCCTTTGATTTTCTTGAAATTTATCTCTAATGAATGTGTTCAGTGTGTAATAAAGTACAATGGGTTCTATTCTACAGATGGCTAAGTTCAGGGAGGTTTGTTTGACATTAACTTTTTAAAGTTAATTCTCAGTAATTTTTTGTGTGCTCTGTTTTTTGGATATAATCACAACAATGAACCCCCTGCTGAAATTCCAAATAACTGAGTCTGAGAAAATATCTTCCGTTTGGATGTCTCGGTTGAAATTACCCATTCATTCAACAAATATACTCACTTTGTCAAAATTGAATTTTAAAGTGAGTACAGGAATTGTCCTCCTTTCCTGATATATACTCTGTGAATTTATACTAAGTTTACTGTTCTGTAATTTTCAGATCCTCCGAGGATTACTCTAGCACCAGTAGACCAGAAGGTTGTGGAGGGTGGTATAGTGAGCTTCATATGTAAGGCAACAGGGAACCCAGCCCCAGACATATACTGGCAGAAAAATGGCAAACGACTTACAGGATCAAAATCACGGTATATCAAGAAAGAAATGCCCCATGGGTCAGTCCTGAGAGTTGAGCCAGTGAGAACACGAAGGGATGATGCTGACTTTGAGTGTGTGGCGGAGAATGGGATCGGGGAACCGGTACTTGCGAGAGCGAGATTAACAGTCTATGAAGAAAATAAAGGTTTGTTTCGATTCTAGTAGTCATCTTTGATTTTTTTCATTTTTTTATTTACATTATAACATTCTCTTCCTTAAGTATGACTATTCAAAAGTGTATATTACTATATTATTTGGTACTTTATTAAATCATCCATACTGCATTGATTCTGTCTTGTCCAATCAACCTTTAGCATGTTTGAGAATGAGATATTTTCAATCTATTCTTGCAGCTTGAGCGGATGTGGATTTTCAATGACCAGAGTAAAGTTTTGTGTTTTCAGTGACATTTCTTTCAGCACATGGTTTTCCTGATCGTAACCAGCCCTACAAGGCAATAGTTTCATGCATACCACCATTCATTTTCCTTAGTTTTTGCTGAGGTTTTCTTTTACTTTGATGTTATTTTGCCTGTTTTCTATTGCTGTTGTTAATAAAATGCAACCAGGCTGGAAACATTGAGACCTGTTCTGTAAATAGGACCTATGGTCTCTGCCTATAGATAAAATTTCACTTTCACAGTTATTACTGTATCTGTTTCGTGAGGATAATAAGAGCTGTGATAGGTAATAAATTATCTCTATTTTTTAGGTAACATTCATCAATGGAGGGTTTCTTTTGTTCTTTTGTTTCTTTTGTGTCGTGCATTATCTATTGTCTCAATTTTTAATTGTGGAGTAGAAAGAGAAAACTGAAGATTTTGAAAGTATAACAGAAGTAAAGGGTAGTATATGAGGATCTATCCTTTTTCAAAAGTTTGTCTTGTATCTGCAAAAGAGGTCTTCCATTTTATTACTAGCCCCTGCATGGGATTCAGGTTGATGGGTAATAAGTGTAGATCAAAGGTTCATCTCTTGTTCAAGGAAAGTAGAAGAAGCTCTCATTTTAAAATGTGAAACTTAACTCTTGAAAAGGGTAGGATTTAGGGAATTGTGGGGATTTAGGGAATTGCTGTCCATGTGGAGTACATAACAGTACATAAGTGAATGGATGTACTTAGCATATGAAGATGACCTATCAATATCTTTTCATGTCTCATTTTGGATAGTTATTCTTTGATTATTGTGCAAAAAATAAATTGAATTACACGTATTGGAGTGGTAACTGTTATTACTGGTGACATAATTTTTTCTTTGTAGTAATAGTGTTTCAATAAGAACAATCGAATGTTTTAAGTTGAAAGTGTTGCCTTTAATTGAGCCAAAGTTGTGAAAATATATTTTGCATAACAAGCCAAGTGTTTCTAATTTCTCATAGGTTACCAATGTAGCGTAGACGCCCCCTGACCTATGAAGAAAAACACCTTCTGGAAAGACATACAAGTCAATTAACTTTTCAGGAAGCTGCTTTTCTTAACTTCTACCATTAAAAGAGTACGAGTTCTTGGTAGATAAATATTGATGGAATATTGTGTAACACATTTGGAACATTTATTTTGAAAATAAGGAAGCCATCAAGAAGGAGATGAGGCTGTCTCAATTTACTAGAACAAACATATACTATATAATATTTTGTTTTATTAACTTCCATGGTATGAGCTATTGTAATCACCCACATGTCTGTCTGTCTGTCTGCTCATTTGTCTGTTTGTCAACATATTGATGGCTTATTTGAAATCCTACATGAAAATTAAAATGGTTTCACCTTTAAAATATGTTAATTTAAAGTCTTTATTTGTCCCATAAGTGGCATCTCAAAAACTCGACTCATTTCAAAATGGCAGCCATTTTTATTGGCGAAAAATGAGGTTTTTAGCTTTTCTTGATTATAACTACCCACGTAGTCTACTTTGCTTGAAATTTTACAGGTATCTTATTTACAATAATGTTTAGAAGTTTTGGCAAAAGGTGTTTTAAAATTTCAAAATTGCCACCTTTTCCTGGCAAAAATTCATGTTTTTGGCCATATTGGTTATAGTATGTACCTCATTTCATAGGTTACACTTCCGATCCTTTATCTTAACATGGCTTTCAAAGGTTAACACATCCTCCAAGGTTCCAGACATCATCCACAAAGTTCCTTCCTTCTTCCAAGAAGGAGGTACGAGTTCTGGAGGCCTGTGTTCGGAGGATGAGGTTAACAGTGGTCCTTTGAAAGCTCTAACACCAATGGGCCCAGTACCTATGGTACTATTTATTATAAGTTAAGATGTTCTTGGATGGTATGTTAAAATAGATTTCTATTTGTTTTGTATATTTTGATCAATTCAGCAATTGCTGCATTGTTGTTAATTTCAAAAACAATTAGTTCATAAAAATTAGTATCCTGTATCACGCCAATCTTTTCTAATAATCGTGAATAATTAATTGAGAAATACTAGAAGAAACCTGATCTTATTGATGTATTCCTCTTCCTCTTTTATGACAAATATTTTCTTTATCGAACAAATCGCTGAATGAGATTCCCAATACAAACATAACAATAGTCGAAATCAAAAAATCAGACAATAGTCAAAATGCAATTTTCATGTGACTAATTCGTTGACAGGAAGTTCATTAAAATTACACCAGAACATTCCAATCCAAATGTGATAAATATTTTGATTAATTTAGGGAGGATATATAAAACAGTATACCTCTTGATTAAGGGGTGATACTTTGAGCTGTCAGCATGGAAACTGGTCTGGATAAAAACATTACTCTGTGCAACTATACAGGGGAATTAGAGGGGGGGGTTATTTTAGCAATCAATATGATTTGTTCCAGAGTGTGTTTATGTGTAAGTTGAAAGATAAAAAGACTTCTGGAAAGTGTGTAGATGCATATGTGTTCAGTCTGCTGCTATATCGTCTTTTCTCCATTATTTTCTTAGTATATTGGTGGTAGATTGATTTTGCAGTAGGGGATCTAGATTAATCAGGCTTAGTGTTCATCAAGTCCTTCTATTAATCCCTACTTCTAAAAAAAACATTTGGTACAACGCCCAGTCTGCCTTTGTATACAGTCCTTGGATACAGGTTATCCTGAACACATGGAAATGGCAATTGTAGAACCTGCAAATGAAAGATTGCATGTTGAGAAACAATCTGTATTTGTCCCATTGTACACAAATCTGCTCGTTGTAATTATTTTATAATTCCCAAAGAGATCTATATTACTGCACTTGTTTACCTCTCCTCAAAAAGGCAATTTTAAGCAATTTTGCCAATGAATGATTGAGTCTGGATTCAAAGTAGCAATTTTAATGAGAGTTTATCTGTAGTTAGAAAGAAGATTCTGTTCTGTTCTGTTCTGTTCTGTTCTGTTCTGTTAAGATAGAGTTTTGACCCTTGGTAAAGCTAAAATGTTATTTTGTCTCTCATTTTATTTATTTTTTATTTTTTGTTGTCTGAAGCTTAAATTAATTTTCTGTAAATGAAACAGTGCTTGTAATAAGGATATATTATTGAGTTGTGATACTTCTATTTTGGTACAAGTTGCTTCATTCACTTTAGATCAGTACCAGTCATTTTTATAAGCATCATCATTATTTGACATTGCCACTCTGATTTACTCTGTCAATGCCCGTTTGATTGCCCAACTGCTTAAATGACATTTTATTGATGCTGCTTTAATTAAGCTATTTAAGGCAAAATGATGAGACTCGTGTTTGGTTCATTCTCTCAATTGTTCGGGTATAAATCAATTATTAATTTGTTCAGTGAATTTGGTCAGTCTCTAAAGCTGTCCAAACAATTCCCTTTACAGGGTTATGCAATTAAGCAACATTCTACTGAGAAAACAGAGCTAAGCAGCATCTTGACTTGTTCATAGTATTTCTTTCTATAGAAAGGAAATGATGGATCAACAGGGCACTCATATACTGCAATTTAATTAAGAATGTGTAAATATAGACAAACTTCTAGTTGGTTATTTTTGTGTGTTTTCTTTGGTTGTATTATATATCATTCGTAGACCTGGGACCCATGTTTTATTGGTCTCATTTCACAAATTAAGCCCCATTTTCTTTTATTAGAAATTAGGTCTTATTTGAGTCTCTTAAATGGGGCTAAATATTTGGAAAAAGCCAGAAAGTTGTATAATGCCTCAGTCACATTTGATCTATGGGAACTGTACGGCAGCCATAGCATAAAATATAGGGATAAGCGGTACAATGTAGATTTTCTATTCAATTTTGTGAAGCTACTGCCGCCATTGAACCTCCGTAGAGCAAATGTGACTGAGGCTTAACTCAAGTGATGGAAATGGGTGAGGTGCCCTGTGTCCCAGATGGCTTCTCTGCATAAATAACTAAAGAAAATATGCTCATTAATATCCAGAGTAACATTGTAGTCTGTTTATGCGATAATGATGTCAGAAGATAATTGAATCACAATAAATCAGTTATTCTAATAGGTTTGAGTTAGCATTGCGATTCTTTGAATTAGATAGCATTCCAACGCACCAGGGGAATGACACAGAAACAATAGAGAATTGAGTGCCCAATTTCAACAAATTACACTTGGCATTTTAATCAGTTCAGAAATGCACTGCTTGAATCAATGAAGATGATTGATATAACACAAAATGTTACCAATTAATCAATTTTTGTCATTAGGGCATTGTTCTAGTGATCAATGTTTGAGTCACGCCTGTCAAGTTCTACAAGCTGCAAAAATAAATTGATTTTGACTTCGAAAATACATTTAACTAATAGAGTTCTTTTAAGAAAGAACATGGTTGTGAGGTCAGGGATGTATTATCAACTTTTTATAGTCTCTTATATATGCCAATCTTACCAACCATGCGTCAATAGATAATGTGTCTAAGTCACAGCCAAAAGGAAATATCTAAGGCTTTTAAGATAACACCCAAATTAATGGAGCTATTTGTTAGTTGATATTGAGTCAACTTATCATTAACAAGGCTATATGAGAGAATGGGATTTATTTGCTATATTTGAAGTGGATAGAAAGTGTGGGAGAGAGTTTGTGATTATGATAATCAAATATCAAAGTATGGTATTGATCAACCCTTGGATCTCTTTCAAAACAGATGGAAATATTCTTGAAACTTGTTTATTTTCTATACAGACCCCATAGCTCTTATTATATAACTTGAAAAAGCTAATGAACAAAGGATAAGTTATATTTTGGCATTTTCCACCCATTTCCAAGTCCTATACCAATTGATGATAATCTATAAAATGTTCAATTAAAAAAGTATCAAATTATCTCTTGATGTTTGAACGTTGCAATGAGGTTATAAAGTCTATTTCGATCATAGTAAAAACATAGATCAGTGTTTACCATAGCTCTGAAAGAAAACACCAACGAAACATGCTTTCAATTGAATGTAATCTTTTTTAATAGACTTGGATTATTTACTCTTTCTCCGATCCCTGTATAATCCTAAACCATAATTAATAAAACAAATATGATTTCCGTTTCATTTTGTAACATAACCCAGCCTGTGAGCTGGAGAAATGGGAAGCAAATATTTGCTGGTTGCATTATTGGAGGCCCTGTTTGATCTGTGGGTAGACCACCCTAGAATAAGATTTCGCGAAATTTCATACTTTTTTAGCAAAGAGATGAAAAACTAGTTATTATAGACGAATGGGACAAAAAGCTAAAAGGTGATGTTAATATTCTAATTTTTGTATCAAAAGCATGGTTGCCCCATGTGTGATTCTGGAGCAAGAACCATTGAGGTATTATTACAGATATATTGTATCTCAGGATTGCTTCTCCAACTTCACAGATCAATCAACTCGTCATACTGTATAACCAGGAATAAAATCATCTTTTTTTTCATTTATATTATCTTTGAATTACAACAAAAAAATTGAAAAATAATTGGAATAAGACTTTGGCCATTGACCTAATTATAAGGAAATACCTAAAAATCAGGTATTTTATATGAGAGTTACTTATGTAAAAACAGCAGATAAAGCAAGATTTTTTTATTTGTGGGTACATATATTCCCTTATCAATGGATCATTTAGTGGAGGCCAAGTTGATTAAAGATGTAGATACAAGTATATCATCTCATCATGAAATAGGCTGCAATAGCAAGTCATTGTAGAGTCTTGATTTAGACCTGGTCACTGGAAACTAATGGCCTGTTTGAAGTATAGCTCAATTAATTTATATCATTTCAGAATTATCGTCTGTAAGGAACATCATTGTTTTAAAGTTGCATAGTCTAGAAATGCCAACTTAAGTTGTTAGATTGACAGTTGAGACAGCAATTGATTAACTTTGGTGTTCAATGTCCATCTTCAATGTCTTCCTCTTATTCATTAGTATTCCTTGCCACATTCTCATAGCATTAGGAGATCTAGCTTGAAATGTCAACTCAAAATGTTATTGTCTGAATACAAAGTTTCGGTATTGGTAGCCTGGGAGGAACCATTGGCAGCCATACTTTAATGTGTTTTGGGTTATTATTTCATTTCAATTTTCCTTGAATTATTTAACATTCAAACACAATAAAAAAAAGCTGAAGTGTAACATTGAAGAAAGTTGAAAGAAATTGGTATCATGTCAACCTATAAGACTGATCCTAAGCACCACAATATGCTATGCACAAACCAAAACCATATAAATTAAAGACCTTCTAACACTCTAAAACCAAAGTGTGTCAAAGACAAAATGCCAAAAGACAAAATCTTTAGCAAGTTCAAGTTTAGGTGGATGTTTTATCTGGACACACTATCTTCATTATTTTTAGATCCCCCTTATTAAAAATGCCAACCCCCTTTCATTACAAAGTGGGCCCAGAACTGAAGATTTTGTTTACTTAAATTGTTTGTTCACCAGGTGGCTCCACATATCACACAGAGCCCTCTTTTGAAGACCATGTTTTGGATTTTAGATTGTTATGTCCTCTATTTTTTGTTACTGGTACTCAATGGTCAATGTTTGTTACAATATTTCTATATTTTCTATAACTCAGATGGTTACATTTTGTGATGTTAATGCCATCTTTTGTATTATTGTAGGTCTGCCCAGTGGCTATCCACGTATCATACAAAGCCCTCAGTTGAAGGCTGTAGAGAAAGACCGTAATGCTGTGATGGTTTGTGAGGCGGCAGGTAACCCAGATCCAACAATAATGTGGCTTAAGGACATGATACCTGTGGACATGTCAGATCCCAGGATCACTCTACTTCAATCAGGTAAACCTCATAGTTCTATAAACTTCAATGTACATATATGGTATTTATCTGTCAAATCAAGTTATATGCATTATACAGTATTTCTATTTATTATTTTAAACATAATTTTTTGTAATTGATTATTTGGTGGATGCTAATCTCAAGATTCTCCCAAACCATGAGAGCTTCGTCTCCTGGAGCTTGTACTTATAACATGGAGTTCCTCTCCTAGAGCTAGGATCATAGAGCAGGTAGCCTGAAGCTCTTGGAACTTTGGAGCAGGTAGCCTGAAGCTCTTGGAGCTCTTGGAGCAGGTAGCCTGAAGCTCATGGAGCTCTTGGAGCAGGGAACCTGAAGCTCGTCTCCCAAAGCTAGTCTCTTGGAGTAGGCCTCTGGGAATAACAACATAAATCTGCTTTGTTTGCTACAATGAATTTTTGATGAGTAAAAATAGTCCTTCATGTCAGCTTGATAAATGGTTCCCAAGATAAATTATCATCCTATATGTCTCATGTATTTAATGTATTGTCTACTGAGTTAATCATGTGTACGGTATGTTGAACTGAAGACATAAATGATGTACTTTTCATCTTTATCTAGAAATGACTTCACTTTTGTCTAGTAGAATATTTTATGCAGATGCCTTTGTATATTAAAACATTTGATCGATCAATGTATTTTATTTTATCAATATTATGGATTTTAATAATAATAGAAAATAGATTAGATGTTTATTGATTATGATTTGATTTCTGTTTCACTTATACATAATTTGTCATTTAACAATGTTTGGAAAGAAATTGACCAAAACAATTCTATTACTGATGTTATTCATAACATTTTGAACATGCGTTATTGGTTGCATTTTGTCTGTTCACCATGGCTTCACTTTTACGTAGAAAACCTGTTCAGAGGAAGAATACCCTTGTTCATTTTACGCGCTATCATTATATAGTCAGTTGCCTACACAAGTTGTAGCTGGCTTTATCGCTTTATGGATAACATCATGTGATATCGTTTTGGTCAATTCACTAAATGTGCAGTGTCCACTATAAGTTCTATAGCTGATCACATAAATGTCTAGGGGTGAATATGTATTAGGAGGGTAGAAATATATCATTGATTGACTATCTTAGATCAATATTATCATCATTGAGATAGTAAAACCTATCAAATCTGACAGCCTGGATCTTAACACCACTGCGACCAAGCAAAATATGTACAGATTAGAAAGGTGTTCAGATATACAGGTTTTACTATATCATCGATCTAATAGTTCTGATGTATATAATTCAACACAAAATGTTTCATTATATCATAAGGTGGTAAGACTAACAATAGCCTTGGGCTTTTGGTGATATTGTCTTAGCTTTTTATTGGGCATAAAACAAACACTGCATATAGCATCATAATTATAATTAAAAGCCCAAAGCTTGAGATAGTTATCATTACCAGCTTTGCCTTAAAGATTTAGGACTGGTCAATGATGTGTGATACCAAATAGATTATATAAATAAGCTTTTGCCGTTTAGATGTATGTAGGTCATTCTTAACATTTTTTCTTTTCTTAATTATTAGCTGAGGACAAGACCAATGGTAAACTACGCGGGATTGCATGGGATTTTACCTAGAGCTGTGGTTTTTGAAATGCATTAATAGAAAATAGCTTTATTTCAGCCATAATGTTTACATTGGGTGGTTCTTTGAAATTGTAGTTGATATTACATAGATTCAGAATTTGTTACCATCGACTTGAAATTTCATGTCTCACGTTTTGTCATATAGAACTTTCGGAGAGTGACAATTATATTCATGTGTGTTCATATAGACAATTAGAGCATCTTTTTATTATGTAATATTGGAGGTCCATTGCTAGCTGTTAATGACATTTTGGTAGTAGAATTTTGTAGCTAGTTTATGTGTTTGCTGGTGATGATGAAGGCATGTACTGAAATTATTCATCAAATGAACATCTGTTGAATTCAGCGTTTAGGTCATAAAAGGCGTGCATCTCATTAAATAGAAAAAATGTGTCATATTATGTGTTTTGTCAAGTTGTCTTCTTAAATGCTTTTGGTAATGAAATGAGAATGTTTACGGATGTAGCTTTGTATTTGTGCATCAAACTGACAGGACCACCCTCTGAAAACATGCATCTCCAAAAAGTGAATAATACAGATTGCATGCCAGTAATTTACAACATGATTCCGTATTAATATCTAGATTGTGTGGACGTATCCACTAGGGCTTGCTATATAGAGCTGTTTTACTTTTACAGAAAAGTTAAAATGGTTATAATTCTTACTAATCTAAATATAATGTATTAAGTATTGTATTCAATTAACCCACTAGTTTATTTAATTAAGATTTGACAATAGTGTGTAATTAAGGATATCCCATCAGATTTTTGGTGACCTCCATACCCCATGAACATACCATTAGGGCGTGTAATCCAATTCCCAGCTGTAATCAAATCAACAAAAATGATTTGAGCTTGCAACTAAAGCGAAAGCTTTGCAACTAAGCAATTCTCCTGACATAATTTGTAATCATTAATACTTGAAAGATGCATAACCCTTGCAATATAATGATTTATACCATGATTCGAGATACTGTTTCACAAAAACATTGTAAAAGATGATTCATGAAATCCAATTGTCTTTTACTCAACTATGAAATTGTAACATCCAGAAAGACAATTGAAATCAGGAACAGCGATCTACAATGTTTTTAGGAACAGGCTCTTGCATAATAGAAAGTATTAAAACTTTGTCAATATTTCATATTGTTTTATTTTACAATAAATATTTTTATATAAATTGTCTCATAGAGGCACTGATTCAATACAATGGCACTTATTCTAGATGTTTCTATGGCACTTGGTACATTGTCCTTATTCAACAGTTTGAGGAACATCAATGGTTGAAAACTTAAAAAACATATTTGTTTATTCTGTCTCAACACTGAATCATAAGATAACTATTATTTTTGGGGTTTCCATGGTATTATTCATTAAGACATATCAGAATATAAAGTACTCCTGTACTTGACTACAGGTTATTTTAGGGGAGCTTTTGAGAATCCCCGATGCATTCATCCATCATTGTATTGATAGAATTCCTTTTAAAGATAATCCATGGACAGATAGTTGATGTAGTCAGTCCTTCTGAAAGTTCTCCTTTGAGAAAAGCCAAAAAATGTTTGATATAATGTAATACATTATGTATGTTGCCTTATGGCATCTTCTGATGGCTTAATATATGCTTCTCAGAATCAGTGAATTATCCTGAAACAATGGAATGAAATAATTGGTTTATATTTTGCTATATGGAGCAAAAACATTATGAGGAACAAAACTTGCCTCTCGTTTATACAGTTTAGTACTTGAACCATCATCCTCCAAATGCAGGGGTTTAGACATCACTCACTCTCCTCCTTCATTCAGCAAAGGAACATAGTGAATGATGCCTGGATTTCTGCATTTGGAGTATGCAGATTCATTTCGATGAAACATTGCATAAGACATGCAAATTCACTAATCATCCATTGTTTAATAACATGGTTGTATTTTACAGGCTCACTGCAGATTGAAAAGGTGCAGAGACCAGATGAAGGGAGATACGAATGTGTCTCTTACAATGACGCTGGGACCACCTATTCCTACCCTGCTAATCTCTATGTTAGAGGTAAGAACCAATAGAAACCAAGCCCAGTATATGGGTGTATCTAGGCCTGGTTGTACCATAATATGCTCTTGCTTTTAGTGTAACATGGATAGGTCCTCATAATAAATAATATATACCGTAATTTCATTTCTGCATTTAAAGTTTGTTTGTTATTGTTTTCGGCGGGTTGAAAGTTTTCTTCAAATGAAATGTTTATGTTAGGAAAATAGTTTTCTCAGAATCAGAATAGCTAGCAAGTAATGGTGAAGTTGCAATATATCAAGAGCAATCAAGCAATCAGTCAACTAAAGGACTGATTAAGTTAGTACTGTCTAAAAGAGCTAATGTCTACATGGCATTATATAACCCTTCACAAATTCCAATATATTCAGTCTGATCTTCATTTGGAGCATACAACAAAGTGACATTCTTCCTACCATTTCTATCCTTGACCTAACATCCCTGACTGAGAATATATTATTCTAAGAGTGGGCAAAATGAATAAAAACAACAAGCAAATCAAATGGAAATCATAATTTTAACTTGGATGCGATTTCAAAATCCCAAAATGAATAAAAAACAATCGATTGGCGATTTTGGTAAAAAACAACAGGAGAAAATTATGAGTTGCCTGTTGTTCATGGAACCTCTGGGACTCAAGTCTGCTCCATGCTGTTTAATATGCAATGATAAACTCGTCATTGTAGAATGTTAATTCCCTGTGTCCATTCTAGGTTTACAGGACCTTTCAACTTGATTTGTGCCCTTCCTATGAATTGTTCATTTCTGTCCAAGAATGGGGACATTTAGTTTAAATAAACAAGGAAAGTGCCCTGTTTTTTAGGTTTGTTGCATACTTAATGGAATTGACCGCTAGGCAAGTCTCAAGTGAGACATTTGTCCAGTAAATTTGAAAAAACAGCTTTGTCAAAGTGTAGAATTAATCTTACAAAGGAGGGTTACAATAGAAATTTGTCGCCTTTTGTGGAATTCTCAACATGTTCTTATCCAGGATGGCGCAAAAATGCAACCCTTTAATTTTGGAATAATTATTTTCAATTAAGATGGAGATCCATGAAGCAATGGTTTTCGTATGTATATAGCACCAACTTCTGGGATTAAGAGATATTACTTTTTCCATCTAGGCAAGCTCTCACACCAAATTACACTAAATTCAGAAATTTGTCTTAGTCAATATTACTCAAATAATCAAGTCAATTCATCCTAATTTACAAAGTTATTTTTTTATCAAAGTGGGAGGATAAGTTATACTATTCATGATGGGTATGATGGAAGTAATCCGCAGACAACCAGAATGACTCAAAAAAGACTAAGACAGAATTTCAATTTCAGAATTGCATTTGAACATTTCAGAGCGTAGATGGAAATGTTTTTTTTTAATTTTTTATGCTTTTCACAAATTATTGTTTCATGCATCAAGCACTCTATAAACACAAAGAAACTCATGAAGATTACACCATAATTGAGAAAGTTATTCTAAAACTAGCGTTGCATTTTTTGTACCACTCTTGAGTTGCCTTACCACACACGTGAGCTAAAGAATTAATTGTAAGCAAACATGAATGAATTGGTCAGAATTTCATTGATACAATATTTTGACAGGAATCTCTTCAGCGTGTGCCATAATAGGGTTACTTAAGCTATAATTCAGCCTGAATGTACTGTGATTGCTCTGCCTTTTGCCCCAAGCATCACATTGTGTTGGCATTAAATCGTATAATGAGATTAAGATTGAGTAAGCGCATCATAGATCTCCTCGGTGAAGCCCACACTTATTTTATTCTTCAACACTGAATGTTGGTCCTGTTGTGTGAAGTCATATATCTTAACTTATTTCCTATTAAGTGAAGCTTTGTTAGGTAAAATATCCTAGCATTCAAGCAAAGAAAGAAAGGTAATTGTGAAATAATTAAAAGGTTAAAAAACATTATTCTTTGTTATGTTATTGAGAAAAAACTCAATGGTATGCACTAACTGTCTTGACTCATTCTGACAAATATACCACAAAGCTTGAATATAGATATATATCGATCCGATCACTAAAATATGGTTTTATATGATCAGAATTATAATTATCAGTCTTTTATCAATGTAAGTTCCATTGTGAATATGACTCAATTTTTTCATATTTCATCTGTCTCATAAATACCTATAAAATCTATATTAATTGATAATTTAGATGTCAGAGAGCTGTGTCATAGTCTATGAGTGAGATATAAAAGTCTATAAAATAGATATTCCCAGAGAAGAGAGCAATTCTCAAACGTAAATGCATATCCATAAAAATAGTTAAAAACATTACATCGCCACTAATACAGTGAAAAACTTGAGAGGTGTGTAACTTAATGGGAATAATTGCATATGCAAGTGAATTTATGTTCCAATTTAAGCATAGTTAGTGTTTTTGTCAGAATGCATTATCACAATCTCTTGTTTAGTCATACTTTTATGTCAATAACTTCTATATATGTGCCAGAACACTCTTACCTCTACCCCATACATTATTGTTGAATCTGTAGATGTATTCTACATACATGTCGAAATGAAATCTAAACGAAATCAAAACTTATCTACACATCTTCTATTCTTTTGTTTTTGTTGCAGTTCGTAGAGTACCTCCACATTTTACGATACCCCCAGAGAGTGCTGAAGTGATGCCTGGTGGAGATGTTAATATTACCTGTGTGGCTGTCGGCTCCCCCATGCCATACGTTAAGTGGCGACTAGAGGCTATTGAGTTGACCCCTGAGAGAAACATGCCTGTGGGTCGCAACGTCCTGCAGCTGACTAACGTCAAGGAATCCGCCAACTACACATGCGTGGCTGTATCTGAGCTAGGCAATATTGAGTCTGTTGCCACGGTGAAAGTCAAAGGTGAGATTTTAACACTTCACTCAGGAATTGTTTTACACAGTGTACATATAAAACACTATTACAAATATATTTCTGTGTAAGACATACCTGTTTGATACAGTGTAAGGTTTGCTGTGTGATTTAGGGCAACACCTATGCTATTTGGAGTGACAGCCTTTTTGACTGCATTTGAAACCATGCATATTTGAGCCAGATATATGCTTTTTCCACTTGAATGTTGCTTTTTGAACAAATAGTGATATTTGTATTTATAGTACATGTACTGTGTATCATTTGAACAATAGAATTATGAATTTATTTCTCATTAAAATATTTCAGCAAGTAAGTAAAATCAAAATAATTTTTATATGATATTATTATACATTTTACAAAGTATTTTTGTTACATTCTATATGATTTTTTACATAGAGAACCATGTAATTTTAGCCCTGTTTAAGTAAATGTATTTATTTCCCATCATGCCTCTCTTAGTCCCAATTACAGGTAGGTTGACTCGTGTAATGTTGCATTGTGGGATTGCTCTGAACACTCCATCTTTTCAGTATTGATACACGCTAAAGTGACAAGTTAGATGTATATATGGGCCTCTGCCATACTGTTGACTACTTTTTATACGTTAATACACCATATATGGTGATGATCTGTTAACGTAATAGATGTTTGCAGACCTGTAGCATTCTCCAAATATAGGGTTCCATTCCTCACATATATGTCCATATTTGGAATGAGCTGCTCCGTACAGTCTCAGTACTAGCCCTGAGCTAAATATGGAACCTTGTATTTGGAAGATGGACCAATAGTTTCTCCGAGGACTTCTATTTTATATCAACATGACTTGTGTATCTTCAGTTCGAAGTTGATGTCTTCAATGTTTTCACATGTTTCAGGCTATTGAAATATTTAAAAATAAATATCCAGACCTGAAGATCAATGAAAATATCAATTTGTTTGAGTATGGTTCTTACATATGACTGTTCTTACAAGACCTATATTTATTATATATATATATATATATACTGTACTTACACAAGCGATGGGTTAAAATAGAAGAAATCCAAGTCTATGAGTTGTTCAAATGAACTTCTGGAAAGCAGGTCTTGGGAACATGTAGCATTGTCGTAAATGACCACTACAAGTCTTTATCTCTTGACTAATCTCCTTCAAATATATTGTTGGACTCTGAATGTAGTCATAGATTGACACCCATAGACTCTCAACTGAAACTGGAAGCATCTCTGATGTCCGATCTTGTATGTTGGAATTGTTGTATCACCAGTGTTTCAAATACTTGTATGTTCACCGACTTGCTGCAACTTATTAAACATACACCAATTTTGCTCATTGCAAATTGTCCCGCTCGGAACACCAATAATTTAAAGCATGCTGAATGAACTATTTTATCGTCTGAGTTTTCTTTAAGTTGGCCAAAATGTTTTCAGCAGCACTGCAGTTTTATTTTCAGCCATTCATAATGTAGTTTTCATTAATGGGTATCATTTGGTATAATGCTTTGATGAGATATCAACTTAGCTTGCTACCTCATTCATAAAGCTCTGTAAAAAGATAATTAAGATTCCAGAGCAATTATTAATGCATCATAACCAATTGCCATTGGGTTCAATTTCGCCTTTAATAAAATGAACATCTCATTTCAATAACACGTATTCATACAGAGTGGTTCTTCCCAGTTTATGTTGCAAATCCCATCATGGCCTTGCCTACAGTTGAGCTACCACTGGTGAAATACCATGTTTTACGCAAGACTCCACACGTTATGACCCCACGCTTTCTATTCTTTACCCTAGCAATGCCAAATCCCCCCACTAGCCTGCATAGCTCTGACGTCACGCCAAATTCCGTCAAACTGACGTGGCACCCAGGGAATGTAGAGCCAATCGAGTCATACATCGTGCAGTACAAGCGCCATGGTGAGGATAGCTACAGCGAGATCCCAAATATAAGAGGCCGGGAGTATGTTGTACAGGGCCTAGAGGCCTACACCAAGTATGACTTTAGGGTCGTAGCTGTGAACAATGTGGGACGAGGCCTTCCCAGCATCCCCAGGGATGAGATTACAGGAGAAATGGGTCAGTAATGACATGTGACTTACAGTAGTTATAAAGCAACGGTATCTCGTAAAAGTAACACATGGCATCATTATATAACATCAGAATTCACTAGAGATATATTTATTCAATGTTTTTTGAATGGTTTTGCTCGATTGATTGCTGTTAAAATACTGCTTAATGCTAAATTGTGATGATGTTAACATTGACATGTTTTATTGCAGCAATAGCTTACAGGTTGCTTACAGTATCTGGTGTGATGAATTGTCCTTTATGCTTCATATAATCTAACGTAATAAGATCATGGATCATAGGCTATCCGTTATCTTATTACACACATGCATACTAACTTCTTTTACTTATACTTACTGTCGATCCTTCAGTTTTTTTGTATTTCTTCTATTTCCCACTTTACTTTAAATCAAGTTTCCCAGTTTATAATTGAATCAATGTCTTTCCTTTTTTGAATATAATTTTTTGGAAATTCTCTAGCTCTATCAATGTATGTTGAGGCTCTAGAATCTAGATAATATATGTATGTAGTGTCCATAAACTTGTATAGATGTCTCATGTGAGAGTGCTAACATCTGAGTTGGCAAGCCATACTGTTGCTTCATGGAAGTAATAGTGAATTTGATATGAGATAGAAAAATACCTGAGTGGATTGATGTAAGAATGATGCTATGAGTGTTCAGTATGAAGTTTGCAGTGTGTATAACTACTATAATGTGTGGTGTGACTGATGACACGCATGTTAGTTAGTTGATATAGTGACGTGACAGTTGATATAGTGACGTGACAGTGGGTGACTAAACATCTGACAGATATGAGAGGCTGACATGTATTTCCCACCTGGGTTTCCTAATCTGCAAAAATCTAAGTTTTCCAACACCTTGGTTCAAAGCTTAACAGCCACTTAACACGTTTGCTCTAAACTGTCCTATATGCCTGGGTAAGTACACTGTTCTGTTATATGCCTCTAATACAATCAGCCCTGGTTTCTTATAGTCAACCAACAGCGTCTATTTCAAACGTAACATGATTTTAAAGTTTCCTTAATACACATATAATGGGTCCCATTATTGTAGCGCTAACTTTGCATGCACTAGCTAACTAACAGGATACTTGAAAACCTTCTACGTTTGAAACTGATCTTGTTCTTTGGCTATATCCACCTGTTGGATGTTTACGTCTCATTAATTAATATGCGCATAGTGAATGACTTACACCCTACCTATGTCCTGGCGCACCATTTGCAAACACAACACCCATCATTCAGAATTTCACAATATGGCTGCTAGCGTTGCATCCATGGATACAACCTTACCCCCATTATTATGTTAGTAAATATATACTAGCAAATAGCTTTATGAATTTAGAATCACATTTGTGTTCATATCCTTGGAGTTTGCCAGTGGTGTGCCTTGTTTGTTGCCCATACCATGTCTAATCTGTGTGTTTGTGTCCAGCCCCTGGCTCACCTCCTAGGGAAGTAAAGGCTCAAATGATTAGTGCGAGCACTGTGACGATGTCCTGGATAGAACCAGAGATACCCAATGGAGTCATCAAGGTATGTGTTTAGATTTAGTATCACATCTCACAGTTAAACTTGAAAGACATTTTGATAGTTTCATGAAAACATATGTCTATATATGTGTACGTTTGTACTTTACTAGTGTTTCATGATTTCACCATTTAGGTTGAATTATCACATCAGTAGTTAAGGCAGGATTTCATTGTTTGTTCTAACTATGCCTTGACTTTTGCAACCTTAAGATTTTGATCAGTAATGGCATTTTAGAATGTTATTGCTAATACTCTCACCATGTCAGTCTGTACAATGTATGTATACGAGCATATCCATATATGAAAAATACATACCCTGAAGTACATTTTAAAATCTGAATTCTTGTTTCAGGGTTACGAAGTGATCTACACACTTTCCCCAGATCTTCCTATATCACTATGGACGTTACATCGTGTCAACAATGTCAACATCAACAACATAGCAACCATACCTAATCTTGCCACAAACAGAACATATACCTTCCAAGTATTGGCCTTCACCGACATAGGATCAGGTCCTCTCTCAGATCCCATCAAAGTGAAAACCCAGCAAGGAGGTAGGGTGTTTACATCAGTATGTGTCTCCTTCAGAGAATGTTAGGAATCGCATGACTAGCGCAAAAACCCTGTGTGTCCAACTTACTGCCATATAGTCTTTTAATACATGTAGATTTCTCAAATCAACAATCTTTTATTTATTAATGATCCAGAGGTTAGATTTTTATTAGATTTCTTAGAAAATGTAGATTTTTAAACATCATAATCTTGAATAAGTGATTTTTTCTTTTGTTTGTTTTTTAACCTAATTTTATGAGATGAAATTTCAGTTTTATTTTGAGATGATTCTGAATTCTGAATTTTTTATTAATTTATAGTGAAATAGATGGCGGTTAAGCACATTTTGCATGATGTACACAGAGAAACATGCAAATCGTAACCAGACAGAAATATCATAATTAAATCTTGTATGAGCATGATACATCCCATTTTACTGACTCATTATTTAAGAATACTAAAGGTGCACTGTGCACATGAGCTAAATGTTTATTGTTTCAGTAAGAGAAATATAAGAATCAAATTTTATACTAGTTACACTTTCAGATGAAAAAAATCTTTGTTTAATAGCTTCATTGATTAAACATTGGTTTTATACATTTTGAAAACTCAAAACAAAAGTTTTAGTGTGTAATTTGTATTTTGAGAAGTTGATTTTAACTTTTTATTGTGTAAGGTGAGAGATCTGCCTGTTTTTCCTGTGTTTAACCCAAGCTGCATATTGCTTTCCTAGGCCTTTATGACCAAACTGAACACTGTTCAATGCTTCTAGCATTCAAATGTATACATACTTGTTGATATAGCTAACATCAATGATGCTATTTGTGTATTAATATTTTTATAGAATACAGTGATCAGTTTGGGGTGTGAACGATTATTATTCAATTGAACATGGCGCAGCTGTACTCCGATATCAAAATCAGTTTTACATGCTAAAAAATAACCCAATTTCTATTTGCAGTCTAGTTTTGAATCAAGTCATTTTGAAATTGTAAATCTGGGTACAGCTGACATTTCTGAGTATGTAGTCTTATATTAATGAACTAACAATGTTGGATTCCATTGATTTGATAACTCTTGATCAGCTAACTTTGATTTCTATGTATCAGTTAAGCACATACCTCCATATAGTAAGTAAAGAATTATCATGCTTAATATGCTCTTCTCAATCTACTCAATATTATTTGATTTCGTATATGTTCATCAACTCAATTATTATTAGATAAATAGTGATTAGTTTGACGTTAGAGGTAGATTTTAGCTCACATTGCAATTGTGAGCTATAAATTATGCTGCAATTTGGAGCTAGAAAATAAGCTGCAATTTAGAGCTAAAAGCAAGTTGGATTTGAGGACTAGACGGCAAACTGTAATTGAGAGCTAGAAATTTGGCGAGAATGAGCTGCACTTATTTATTATTGATTATTATTATTTTGCAATATACATATATCATATATTTTGGCCTACCCCGTATATTTGGGAGTATTTAAGTATCCAAAATGAATTGAATACACTTCATTCTTATTAGTCTATATGGTTGTTATGTGAGTGTGTACTTGGTACACGATACCTCCGTATTGTAGAGAGAGAGATACTCACACTAAATGTTTCCTGACTGCAGTAGAAGAGTATATGTAGAACATCCCCTGAGACAATGGACTGTTTGACTGTTAAATGTGTCGTTGCGATAACAGACATGCTCATCATGCTTTCTATGTGATTGCAAGAACTAGGATAAATTTTGGGCTGTTTCCTTATTTGTCAGCTTGTATTGAATGAATTTCAAAAATATTTCAGTTTCTAAAATATATTTTTGAAGCTTGACCTTAATTGGCATTATAAGAAATCTCATTTTTATCCCCAAGAAATCTTAAGTATTTTGTTAAACATTATTCCTTGTGAGTTTTTTCAATCAGTGTTCTGTATTTTTTACCTTCAATACTTTGAAAGTCTGCTTTTTATCCTGAATTTCCATAAAGAATATCAAGTTTTTACTGTTCATGTACTTTTGCATGTAATGGTGTTTTTGTCTAACTTTTAAATTAGTTAATCTAATTTTCATATTTTGATAAGGTATGGACTATTGCAATGCAAACTTTATCCTAGCTCTTTGTTCTGTTGAAACTTGGCGTTGACGAAATGTAAAAATGTCTTACATGTTATACGTGCTCAGTTGTTGGTCATATTCACACTTTGATTTGTAATGGGGAAATAACTTCATTAATATTTGAAATGTGATCGACTGTCAAGCACAACATGTACAGTAAAATCTGTATAAGTTGAATACCTCTGGGATGGCGAAAAGTGTTCAGACTTTCTATGGTGCCCACATTTCATTTAATATAGGAATTAATGGGAAGATAAAAAATTGGAACTAGAAGTTGTTTGGATGAGAGAGTGGTTCAGATTAGCGATGACATACAGATTTTACTATACATACTTTAGAACAGCCTATTTGGACTACAAGACAATGAATTTAACATTTGCTCATATATAATGTTGATATAGTGAATCCATGTATTCTATAGAATGTGTGAATATGCCCTGTTTTTTTGTTTAGAAGGGTTAAACTTTCCAAAGATGTTGTTTTTGTTTGCATTTTGTTTTGCTGAATAAGCAACATTAACATGAAATGAATTGAAATCAAGTTAAGTGTAAACCTAATGCATAAAGTAATATTGTTTTAGAACTATTTAAAAAGAGTCTGTGCAGTTTGATGCATGCAGTTTGTCTTGTTATGTTCATGTACAGTTACTGTTGCCTGTTAAATACTAACACACTGCATATATCTGCCATACATAAAACAATGTTTTATGATTATTAAGATACTTCCAGATGGTAAATCGTGTACTAAGTTGATTAATAAAGTTCTCTTTTTCCACTTCCAACAATAATGATAATTAGAAAGACCAGGTATAGTGGTGTTGTAGAAAGATATCTCTGAATATTCTATTCTAGATACATGTAAACATCTCTCTTGGTGCACCAATCCAAAAAATGACTTTTTGCTATGATGAAATTCCATGTTTTGAAACTGCTAGAATGACAATATTAACCCTTTGTCTGTGTCAACCTCCTAGCCTCTTATTGTGGTAATCTTGTGAGTAATATATCGACAAGTGGAATAAGAAAATTTGAATTTTGATCATTACAAAAGATTCTTATCAGGGACATTTATGTAAATTACATATTTCTACATCATAGATAGACTAGATTTTTTTGGTATCTTGTATTTTCCCCGATATAAGTATGCTAAATCATAATAAAGAGATCGACTTCATGTTTTGTGATTAAAGCCAATGGAGAAGCAGATTTTGTTATCCTTCTCCAGCTTTCTTGTTATACTTCAGGCCTGTAGCCAGGGGGGGGGGGGGGGTTTGCAGGGTTCGGGCCAAAAATTCTTTCAAAATCATGCAGTTTTTCACCATTTTGAGCACTTCTCAAGTGATTTTAGCCATATTTGGGCCAAAATTGAACCCCCATGGAAATGGGCCTGTACTTACTAGGATGCTCTTTTCCATGATAGATAAGCTCACATCAAACAGAAACAATGCGAGAGTCTAGGATTTCATTTGATACATTTATCTAGTGCAACTATTTTCAAAAGTTTATTTTGTTCAATCATCTGTCCTTGTCAGGAGGTTGTAGTTATTACTTGGCTTCAGAGTAATCCAGTTCCGACACATTGATTGCAGACAAAGGGTTGAACGTGTTTATTTTTGATTGAAAAAAATTTTGGCATTGGTGTTTCTCCATGATATAAATGTTAACTTTTTGCACAGAACTGGCCATTTCTTGAGCCTAACTTTTCCATTACATACATCTCCAGAAATCTCCTTTTGAAAAATAATGTTTCCTGCAGAATTCTAATTTCTCCTGTGTACCAATTCCTGAAAAAAGCTCTCAATTTTCCTGCAGAATTCTAATTTCTCCTGTGTACCAATTCCTGAAAAAAGCTCTCAATTCTTTTTAAAGTATACTCTTGTCAGTTGATATCTAGATGGATCCAGTGGAATGATGGAATTTATGTTTTTCAGGAAAACAATCGGAACATTATGAAATGTTTCATCATTGTAGGCTTTCCTATGTTCCTAAATCCATCTAGGTCAATGTCTATTCATCATTCATTCAAACTGTTGTTGCACGGTTTTAGATTTGATCTCCTTTTGATATAATGTCAATCTTAATATGATATCTTACATATATATCATATATTACTGTCTCCCTGATTACAAATCATAAATGTTGTTCAAAATTCTAGATCAATTGTGCTTCACGTCTTTACAATTTCTGCTCCATTGTATCAAATAATCACATGATTGATTACTCAAATTTTGCCTTTGAACCATGGAATGTATTATCAAGGAGTTATGCTCAGTCTCATTTAGTTCTAAATATGACACAATTTGAGTTTATTCTTTATTCATTTACATGGAATGATTTTTCAAATAGCTCAGGGAGAACTCAAATCTTTCATTATTCTGATTCTACATTAATTGCAGAATTCTAATTCCTCTTGTATAATAATTCCTGAAAAGGGTCTCAATTCTTATAAAAGTGATAACCTTTTCAACAGAATGAATATATATCTGAAGACTGATGCACACAAAATAAAATGTCAATTTTACGCGATCGCGAGTTCATACCTAGTTTTTCAAAATATATAGTCTATTTGATTGTTATTATCTTTTTTCAGTGCCTTTCACACCTAACAACCTCCAGGGAGAGGCAATTAGCCCCAATGAAATTGTTCTCCACTGGGAGCGCCCTGAGGAATCGGGCGAGAGCATCACCTCATACGAACTTCGCTACAACGATTCCCACTTTCGTCAAAATATCAGGATTTCTATCAAGCCTCCGGTGGAGACCTATACTCTTACAGACCTCACTCCAAGCACTGTTTATCATATCCAAGTGTCCGCAAAATCAGAGCGTGGGGAAGGACCACAGACGCCTATAATACAGATCAAAACCGAACAGTTCAGTGAGTACTGATTTTTAAACTGTTATTTGATTTTTTATGTAAGGATAGATATACATAGACATTAGTGTGCACTTAATGTTGTCAGTAAATAGACATGATGAATCTTAGACACTCTTAGTTTTCATTTTGTATTATCATCTTAAAATCATATTTATATTATGTTTGTTACTTTATTAAATAGTTGTATCGAAGCTATACTTGTGCATACCCATTATAATAATGCTGTTGGATAAAAATGGTTATAATTTTTGAAAATTATAATTATAACATGGAGGCAGTTGCAAATCTCCTCAAAACATTTCTGATTTTGGTTATACAGCAAAAATTGCCCTTTAATGCATATGGACTCTGCTACTCAATAGATGGCATCATGGCGTATGTATCAGCAAATATAGCCTCGATAAAACTATCAGGAAATGTCAAGTTATGTTATTTAGTATACTATCATATTTATTTTAGTTTTACCCCATTGTTGTATTCTCATTGATTTTCTCTTATTCTATATTATTTGCAATGGTTGCATGTAACCTAAATTCATCTACTTGCTTATTTCAACACAGTGCTTGAGTAATATACTTTTGGATGAATTGATGCCATTCATTGTTTAAACATCATGTGGTTTGATACATCTATATAATATGACTGTTCATGGATTGATGAGGGGGATGGAACTTTGGGTAGTGTTAGCTTGGCTGTCTCCGTCATCAGGCTTGTGACTGACCTCTGGGTGGTTCACAATCTTTTATGGAACCAACACTTCCATTCAAGAGACTGAAGTCATGGAACACTTTTTGATGATTATACCATCTTGAAGAATGATTCTAATAGCAAAGAAGGCAAATTATTGTCAAAGAAACACTCAACAAGCACAAGTACATGTATTTTGATATGAGTATATGTGTTTCAAACATTACTCAAGCACTGTCTGAACAAAGCGATCATAAAGAGGTACAGAAGACAATAGAGAATCTTGGAAAGTTTGATGTCCTCATATTTCCCCAGAATTGGCTAAAACACTCAGTTAGACGTTAACAATCCTTAGAATTTGATAAGACATTGTGATGATGTAGGAGTTGAATGTGAAAGTGATAGAATAAGATTAAGTGATTTAGAATAAGAACTAACCTAACAAACACTAATGTTATATAGCATGGAATAGGGGGAGAGGAGGGGGACGTTAAGTATGGAAATCCTACATAACAAAAAATGTTGTGATATTCAGATTTGTTGATGTGTATTATACTTACTACATGGGTAAAAATTGGAAGTGTCTATATATTTAAATCTAAGGTCAATGAGTGCACTTGTAAAACCAAACAGATGCAGGCAATAATCCTTGTACTTCCACTTTGCTGTGGTTTCCATTTGGAAATACTTCACTGAGGTCATAACCATGTAAGGCTTATATGTTCATGCATGAGGGAGGGGGACATGGGGAGCGTATGTCAACCAAACAACCATTTGTCTAGCTGCCATATGTCAAAGGTATCAGTTTTTCCAAAGATAATTTTTTCTGATTTTTTCAATACCAGTTCTGACTAAGAATGTCCAAAACCAGCCGAAATACAGTATCCATGATTTTCAAAATTCCAAACTTGATTGAAATAGACTTTCAATGGAGTCTAATATAAGTTTTAAGTTCCCAATCAGACACTGCCTGCTTCAAACTGTGTAAAGTATAGTAAAGTGATTTTGCCATCTTGTTTACAAATTTTTGTTTTGAAAGAGGAGTCCTGTTATTTGTTCCTTCTTCACGTTTTATGTTACTTGGAAATGTGGAAAATATCACAACTGCTTTATCAGGTCAAAATAAAGTCATGGATTTCATTGCTGAGAAAATTTCTGGGAAATAATTTCACATTTTATGTATGAAAAACTCTGTTGTGGGAATATTTCGGCCAAAATGAATGTTGATGTTTGTTACAGATTATGGATGCATTTGTGTGTTAAATGATATATACTGGTATGTGTGTATTTTTTATTTTTGAATTGTTGGATTCATAGTCCCTGCTCTATGTGACATAGATTCAAAAATATTTTTCTGTTGCAGTGATTCATGTTTGAGTATATAATTAAAACATTAGGGGGTCATTTTTATAAATTTTAGTGCCATAAGCCTATGGGCTAAAATCGGTCAAATGAGTATATTGTGTCATATTTGTTGGGTACACATTTACTTATTTTGCTGATCTTTTTGCAAACTCAAGGAGATCCACTAAGATAGAATAAACTTGTCTTTCTCGAACACTACTTGGACTGGCCAAAAACGTTTGGATTGGCAGGTGTTCATATTTCGATATATGGATGTAATGGCAGGTAAATAAACTGGACCAAAACATGATCAAATTTGGACTAAAAAGTGATTATATTGAGAGATATTTGGATGTACAGGTTTAACTGTATGGCCTTTTGGAAAATAGGTTGAGAGATGTTTGGATATACAGGTTTTACTGTATGGCCTTTTGGAAAATAGGTTGTGTACATATGTGTCAGACTTGGTGTAAGTGAGCAACTGTCAAGTGGGACCACATGCAGTAGAAATAGGTATAGAGGAAACTGCAGTTGTGTGGAAAGATGAGCGGCAAACTGACAGCCTGTTTACAGTATGAGAAATACTATCTCAACAAACCAAAGTCTGTTGCTATTCACAGATGAGTTCCCCCAGGTATATCACTTTGAAATAACTAGAGATCTTTGCCAATTTTCAAAAGAATAGTGTTTCACCAGTTATGTTGTTACGTGTTTCACCAGTTGTATTGTATTATCGTCTCGTTTGTCAATTCCATAGTGGTCTGAATTAGTGGTAGAATGGTACAGGTTTCCATGATGGAAGTGGCATTATTTGTGTGTTCTATATTTGTAGACATATGTTTTGAAGGAGTTGTATGATTAATAGATTCTATAAACAACGAGCCTGGTGGCTACTATACCAGATGTCTTAGCTGCAACATATTCACTTTGTTCACATCTTTACTTCTATACTGCTCCACAGTCTTGGTCTTGTAACCCCCTCCATACATACCACACCTTTACAACAGGGGGGTAATATAGACAGACAGGGGGTGAGTAGGGCCCATAGACTCAGTGCAAGACTAAATGAAGTTCCCAATACCCATGATGATACATAAGAGCAAGGGGATACATACCCTCCAAACATACCTCACCTTTACAACAGGGGGGTAATATAGACAGACAGGGGGTGAGTAGGGCCCATAGACTCAGTGCAAGACTAAATGAAGTTCCCAATACCCATGATGATACATAAGAGCAAGGGGATACATACCCTCCATACATACCTCACCTTAACAACAGGGGGGTAATATAGACAGACAGGGGGTGAGTAGGGCCCATAGACTCAGTGCAAGACTAAATGAAGTTCCCAATACCCATGATGATACATAAGAGCAAGGGGATACATACCCTCCATACATACCTCACCTTTACAACAGGGGGGTAATATAGACAGACAGGGGGTGAGTAGGGCCCATAGACTCAGTGCAAGACTAAATGAAGTTCCCAATACCCATGATGATACATAAGAGCAAGGGGATACATACCCTCCATACATACCTCACCTTTACAACAGGGGGGTAATATAGACAGACAGGGGGTGAGTAGGGCCCATAGACTCAGTGCAAGACTAAATGAAGTTCCCAATACCCATGATGATACATAAGAGCAAGGGGATACATACCCTCCATACATACCTCACCTTAACAACAGGGGGGTAATATAGACAGACAGGGGGTGAGTAGGGCTCAGAGACTCAGTACAACACTAAATGAGGTTCCCAATACCCATGATGATACATCAGAGCAAGGGGAATATAGTTTTCTGCCATTCTCCTAATAAACTATAATTCATCCAAATTATACATGTCATATATTCTTGTATATCTGACTGTTCGTATCTTCCATTGATGGGGATTGCGACTCCATTCTCCATTACTATATGCAAGGTGAGTTCAGGTTGTTGTAAGCTTCAGGCCTCCTTGCTGTTGCTGATATCTATACAACAAAAATGAACACTTGTTTCATTAGTAATTGATATCCATTTTTGCTTTGATTTTCTTTACTTATATCGCCTTATGTATAGAATAAAGTAAGAAATTAGAGCACAGTCAGCAAAACCCCAAAACACAAATATTAACTTCTTAACTTTGTGTTTGAAGGCATCAACATCTTTTGTTGTTTTATTTAAACCTTTTAAGGAACACACATGATCTCTTTCAAAATGAAGTGTTTCTGTTAACACTCCCCTAATCAAAATTCTGTATTAAGTCTCCTGACTTATGGTGTTCAAACATTATTGTGTGAAATAGATACCTGGTGTAGGGTAAGAGAGCAACGAGAATCAACACCAAATACAACACATACAAATACAACACCAAATACAACAAATACAAATACAACACCAAATACAACACCAAATACAACAAATACAAATACAACACTAAATACAACAAATACAAATACAACACCAAATACAACAAATACAAATTGATACACCAAATACAACAAATACAAATACAACACCAAATACAACAAATACAAATACAACACCAAATACAACAAATACAAATACAACACCAAATACAACAAATACAAATACAAAACCAAATACAACAAATACAAATACAACACCAAATACACCAAATTGAGTCCCCAATAAAAGACTAGTGGAATTAAGACCTGGTAATAAATCTGGAATAATATACTATCATTTTACGGAAACAAATCGAATTTTTTTCATTGGCATATCAAATACGCAGGAATGTAATTTGGTTGAAACATAAAGCGTATTTGTGACCTGCGTTTGTCAGTCTATTTCATTAGACAATCACTAATGCAATTAGCTTCGTCAATGTTGGTTAATGTAAATCTTCAGTGACAGACATTTTGTGAATTTATGTCCATATTGTGATAGTCATGAGAGTAATAGTAACTAGAAAACACTAGGTGAATAGAATGAATATAATGGGATAAGCTATAGGATTATAA